GGGGTGCCCAGGGTGCTGGAGAGCTGGATGATATGGGGGTGCAGAGGGTGGTGGAGACTGGAGGTGGAGGTGTGGGGGTGCCCAGGGTGCTGAAGACCTGGAGGTAGGGAAATTGGGGTGCACAGGTTGCTGGGGTGCTGGAGAGGTGGAGGTGTTGGGGTGCCCAGGGTGCTGGGGACCTGGAGGTGGGCCATATGTGGTGGAGGTGTTGGGGTGCCCAGGGTGTTGGAGAGCTGGAGGTGGTGGAGGTGTTGGGGTGCCTAGGGTGGTGGGGACCTGGAAGTGGGGTATCAGGATGCCCTGGGTTGCTGGGTGCTGGGGTGCCCAGTGGGGTGGTGGTACCCAGCGTGTGGTGACCCTGATGTCCTGGGCATCCTGGTACCCAGGGTGCTGGGGGAGGAGAGGCCGGTATTTGGGGGTGCCCCGTCCCCCACCCCACGTTGCTGATGAGCTGCCCTCTCCCACCCAGCCCCCCATGCCCGTCCCCGCCTGACCCCGCCACCATGGCCGGGGCGCAGGGCTGCGGCGAGGGGAAGATCGCGGGGCTCTACGACCTGGAGCGCACCTTGGGCAAGGGCCACTTCGCGGTGGTGAAACTGGCCCGGCACGTCTTCACCGGGCAGCGGGTGGCCGTCAAGGTGATCGACAAGAGCAAGCTGGCCGGGGAGGCGGCGGGGCAGCTCCTGCAGGAGGTGCGCTGCATGAAGCTGGTCCAGCACCCCAACGTGGTGCGCCTCTACGAGGTCATCGACACCCACGCCAAGCTCTACCTCATCCTGGAGCTGGGCGACGGCGGGGACATGTTCGACCACATCATGAGGCACGAGGGGGGCCTGGCCGAGGCGCGGGCCAAGCACTACTTCGCCCAGATCGTCCACGCCATCTCCTACTGCCACAAGCTCCACGTGGTCCACCGCGACCTCAAGCCCGAGAACGTGGTCTTCTTCCAGGAGCAAGGGGTGGTCAAGCTCACCGACTTCGGCTTCAGCAACCGCTTCCAGCCCGGCAAGATGCTCACCACCAGCTGTGGCTCGCTGGCGTATTCGGCGCCCGAGATCCTGCTCGGGGATGAGTATGACGCCCCAGCTGTCGGTAAGGGTGGTGTGGGGCTGGGGACGTGTCTCCTGCATGTCCCTCATCCCTACCAGCCAGGTCCCACCTCGCTTTTGGCTCCCTTAGGCTGGGAGCACCCACGCTCTGGTGGCACTGCTGTCCCCCCTGGCAGGGAGGAACCCCATCCCTTGGGTCACCCTGGCACAGGGTGGTCCTCCCTGGTGGAGACCATCCCCGGGTGGGTTCCCCACCCCAAGGAGGGCCAAAAGGCCAAGGAGGCTGCCAAGCCTGGTGTGGCACCCCCGGGGGGGCTCGCTGGGGGCAATTTGAGGGCCACCAGCCAGCTCTGGTGCTTATTTGGAGGGGGAGGGGAGCGCTGCCGGAAGGAAACCTGCTCCGGGATGGCGGCGTTTGGGTGGAGGAGCCCCCGAAAGTTTCCTCTGCTCCGTCCCCACCCTGGAAACCGCTTCCTCTCCGGGGGGGCTGGGGGAGACCGTCCCCG